ATATTTTTGCTCTTGAACAGTGTCTAACTTTACTGAAGGACTGATCTGTGCCTTTGTTGCAATAAAATTATACAGGCCGATTAAAAAGTCCAAGTTCTTATTCCTGTTCAGTCCTAGGAAAAGTCTCATTGCCATCAATTTGCCTCTGTTATTCCTGCAAGCAACTGTAGGCATATTCATAATAATGAAATTATTCACTCAGCTGAAATAGCATAGCCTGTTTTAATAGGTTTTCTCCTAACAAGTCCCCAACTATTGTTTCAAGTAGCAAGAAGAAGCCAATGATTTGTATTTCAGAGTTCATCGCCTGGGAGAGGATAAATTGGGTTAGGCTGTAGCTGCTGCACAATCCACAGGATTTTGCTCTCATTTCAAGTTCAGGGTCAATTTTTTCTCTTGTCTGTATTCATGCATCCCATGGAAGGTAACTGGATTATACAGATTTAACTGAAGGGATAATAGGATTTTATGTGTAAAGAATGGCAGCTGAACAAAAATATCTTGACTTGTCAGCTGAAAAAGGTTCACTGCATGAAACATGAACGTAGACCTAGCAACTCATATTTTTAAAGAAGGAAATCTTATTTTAATAGCAGAATCAGGACTTCTGATTTCAGCTTTGTAGTTATGTGCCTGTAATTTAAAACACTGAGAGTATGATTTATGAAACAGAAATCAGATCATCATTTTATCAATGAATGAATTGTAGCAATTATCTCCATGCCCCATCCTGTTTCAAAAAATAATATTATAGAAAGGAGAAATTAATATTCTGCATATATCTTCTATGAAATTAAAGACTACAGAGCAATAAAGTTTCTCAGAGACACGATTCATGAAATCTTATATAAATGACTTTTTAACGAAGAATCCTTAGCCATCTTTTTGCATTCATAAAATTAAAAAGACATCATGAACTTGGGATCTGGTCACTTAAACAGTTACAGGATTCGTCTATGAATTAAGTTATTCTTTTATTCTAACCATTCTCTAGATAATAGAGATGTCTGCAGAGTTGCACTTTTAGACAGCCAAGCACTTTTGGGCTGCTGAAATAAGGGTGAGAATAAAGGGAGTTTATAAATGTTCATATAGAAGGGCTATCGCTTTTGAGATTTGTATCTTGGGTTACATTTCAATAGTTTCCCCATGCAGACCAAACAGTTCACATACATTCTACACCTGCCAGCCTCACCTAGTTGTTATGATTTTACAATAGTGGCTTCCTATACCAGGAAACACTCTCATCTTCACAGTGCTGTAAAGACCTATATCAGTGAGAAAGAGAATTGGCTGAACATACAGTGATCCTGACTATTTTTAAGCTACTTGCAAAGGCACCAATTACGTGTGGGAAGGTGCGTGTGTGTATGTAGGTGCAGAAATGCCTGCAGACTTAATGCAACCCCTGCTAACTTTGGGATGAAATCCCAGCTCCGCTGAATTCAAGTGAGTCATGCCACTGGCTTCCCTGCTCATAACACCTTACTGTCTTTCAGCTACATTAGTTTCAGATGCTGCATGAGAAGCAGATAGAGCTTTTTCTTTTCAGACTCCAATGTGAGTTTTTAATTACCAGAGAAACACAGCAATACAACGTAACATATGGCGTATTATTTGACACTTACCAGGTATGTAGTTGCATAGTCTCTCCAAGGCTGCCTTTACTGTGCTGTTGTGCCACTGTGCAAGCTGTTCAACCACAGAGACCACAAGCACACAGCCTGCAAACAAGCAAAGAAGAAGAGTGAACACGATTACGTCCATCATGTGATGAAGGACCCTGCACCATAAAAGAATTTTGGATGTCATCGGGCATTTCATTTCTTGAGAGGTTCCATGGCATATGAGTGTAGAGGGGGAAAAAATGTCTGTGAGATTCTGCCTTTACTCAAAAATTGTGACTAATCTGACCAAAGACTGGATGCCAGCAATAGAGGAATGTGCACAAATACCTGCTTTTTATAGCACTGAACGTGAGCACTGGCCATTTTTGCCACTGTGGTATTGCCACAAAAAAATCATGGATTTTTCTTCTGCAATCCAGCTGCAGGTGACATGTGTAGAGCCTCTGGGCTCAGCAACACGTTTTCCAAAGCCAAAACATCTCCTAAATGCACTCTGCTCTCCTGTGGTTGGGCAGAGGACATTTTCTATGGCAAGTGAGGCTGGTCATTTCTCATGGCTAATCTTGACATAAGTAGTTGCTTCTCAGACTAGATGGGACTGAGAGCAAACATCCTGCACACAGAAGTAGAGCCTTTCCCAAGATGTGCGGTGCTTTCTCTGATCCTCCTGGGATGAAATAGGTTCAGTGTCAACCCCACAGAGCAATCATCCCAAATCGACATGATAACTGAAAGCCTATCATTTTAAGAGGATATTTAAATTCTGTAAGGCAGCATTGCCCTTTCTCTGCAGGGGCTCCACCATTTTATAAAGAAGCTATGCCTGGTCATGCAAAAGCTGACCATAACAGCCAGACCTGGCAGCCTTTCCTGGGAGTACCAAAGGTGGGTATCCCTGGTGGCAATAAAATAGTCCGAGTGCCAGGGAGCCAGAAGGCCTATTTCCAGCAGCCTGAATAATAAAAAGATTTCCCTTTGTGTTCCTTGTAGCTGAACCTGCTTCCTCCTTCCTGCAAGACATCTCAGATTATCAGGATTTGCTCTGATGCAGCCTAGAAATGGAAATGAGCTGCAACATTTAGATATGGATGGAAATTCATCTCTTTTCAAAGCTCAGGTGCATTAAAGTTTAGGTTTAGAGGCTGTCACGAATCTTCAGAGAATGCTTTTAAATTCCTTCCAAGTGTGCTATTAAATCAAAGTTATGTTTATCAACATAAATAACTCTGATATTCCTATGGATCAAGTAGCAAATCAGAGAGGAGGTGATGCAGTTGGAACTCGCTATAGGACCTGTAATATCCTTGCATCTTCTATTACCTGTTCTAGCTCAGATGAAGCAATCCAGTGGAAATAACAATGAATTGGTGGCCTTTTTGCAAGGATAAAAGCCCACTTCTCATCTTTAGAAATAAAACCTTCACTCAAAGTACACTGCAGAATGATGTATAAGGTATGCTAAAAACCATTACCTCTAGTCAACCTAAAAGAACAGAAGAATAAATGAAGACAGAAACAATTGAGAACAAAAAAAAAGAAAGAAAAGTCACCTTTCCTTCTACTCCCTTCCCCTCAGCAACGCCCCCAAAAGGCCATGCGCCAGCCCAAGCAGTTAACCCTTAATTTAACAAACAATAGTTCACAAAGCAAAAAGAATATCTGGAAGATAGAGAACAAAAGCAAAATCTAAGGTGACATCCAAACTAGAGGATAAAACACACTCAGGGCACCTGCATGAACAAATGGCCCAGGATCATCTGTTTCCTGTTTAACTGCTAGAAGGAGCCTTGGCTGTCTTCTGCCAAACCTGCCCCAGGCTCTGCTTGTACCTGTGCTTGGGCAGGGACCACCTTGAGCACAGTTAGATGCAGCCACCCAGGTTGGGGAGGGGATAGAGCGGGGGAGGCAATAGACTTCAGCAGTTTGGGGCCAAGCCGTGGCTTGCACTCGGCCTCAGAAAGAGAAGACCCAAACTGGGCAGACCTGGTGCTGACACAGTGGTGCACATCCTTGAAACACGCTTAAAAAACACCGCAAAGGGATTGCCTCTCTCTATACTTACAACACTGTATTCTTGGCGTATGCAATCAATGTTCAAATGCAAACAAACAGGGTTACCCTTTCCCTGCCTTTTATTATTTTGCTATGGCTGTTTGCCCATGGGGATGAAGGCTTGGAAAAATTCAGCGACAAAGAAATGCAGATTTCTTGAAGGCCAAAATGATGTCTTAACCACAAAACCACATAGTCTTTTCATATCTCCTATTTTTCTCTTACCAAGGTCAAGCCTCCTCTGAAGACCTTGCTGACTAGCAGACAGAGGGATGAGAAGCAGAATGACAGCAATGTGCTAGGCTTTGATGTCTTCTAAAAGAAATAGCTTTGACTGCTTTACATCTCGTCGTTCTGTGCCAGGCCCTCACAAGTAGACCAAGGACACTTAAGGTAGATAAAGGGCACATAAGGAAGCTATGAAGGAGGATGTGGCGGGGTGTTGCTGACCTCAGTTCAGAAGTTCTCAAGGTGAGGAGAAAGCAACACCGGCAACGCTGAAGTTAACACCCCTAGTAAGAGGAACATGCCTAAGTGTGGAGAGGATCTAGGCTGGTGGACAGACACTGAAACATAGCCTGAAGCAGACCTAAGAGAGGGGTGTCAAGGCAGCGGAGGCACCAGGAGAACCGCCGAAAGCCACTGGTGACCCAAGCATGCTGCTGAGTTTCAAGCTCAGAGCAAGGGAAGAAGTCTCTCTCTCCTGCCTCCGACATCTCCTTGGCCTGCTGTGATGAAGCTTGAAAACCATGGTCGAGCGCTGTGCTCTCGCCATGGCCTGTGTGCGCGTCACCAGTCCTGCTGAGCGTGTGGTCGAGTGCAAGCGGGAGGCCGCATTTCCTGCGTTGCCCTTGCTGTTGCGAAGAACAAATACTAAACGCCACAACTTCCGTTTTCAAGTAGAGCAACTTGGGTGCAAAAGCACTAATTGAGGGCAACTTCTCTGCAATGCTGTAAGGAGGGGTTTTGTTTCATTGCAAAGTTTGGCCTGATGAAAAAACTCAAGATACCATGTCAGCCCTCCTGCTTGCTATACAAGAGAGACCCAGCAAGCCCAGTGACGAGGAGGCAAAAGAGTCTCCCTCTAGCTCCAGTACTCAGTATTCAGAATCCCAAAACAATGGATTTAAATTTGAAGTTTTTCATCCTAAAGGCAGGCTTAGCAGTCTGCTTAATGTCTTGTCTCTGGGTGGGGTGCAAAGAGTTTTCTATCTCCCTTACTTAGCCATCCTCGCATCCTTTTTTTCTACTATCATAAAAGGGTCTTATCTCTTCTGTCAGAATTGGGGTAGAAAAAGGGGTTGTGGACAAACAGTTGCTGAGCGGCAGGCTGAATGGCACTGCCAGCTAAGCACTTGGCATCCAAAAAGTTGGGCTGAGGATAAAGATATAAAAATAGCTGGGGCAATTCACTTTTCTTTGGAACACACACAAAAAAAAAAGGATTTTTTTTTTCTGCTGAAAATGCAAGTGAATTTCCTTCTCATGTTTTTCAAAGTCCTATGAAGGAAAAAAGGATAGCTATTTCTGGTTTGGCTCTGTCAAATAGAAACAGAATTCTTAATCACAAAAACAATCAGGTAACCTTACTTACAGAACAGTCTCCTGCCAATTTGGTGGAAATTTTCCCTGCTGATTAAGTCAGTTAGACACTTTTGTGTCTATCGAGCCAGGCCCAGAGGGAGGTTTGCTTCACATGAGAATTAACAAAGTCATCACTGAGTTTTTCAAGTGCTTAGTGCAGCACCTTGGGCTAATAGGTGCTAAAAGAATATAAATAATAATAATGACAGCCTGACTGCTTGGAGAAAAAGCCCACTGAGCTGAACTTGAAAGTGTCTGCTCACATAAACGAGTTTTTACTGTCCCACAGAGGATGCTGTTATGCCCCTGTCTGGGGTATGGCACCTGGATCGTTCAAATACTTCCCCTGAATATACTCACTCCAGACACCACTTTATGCCTCACAGGACAAGTAGGTAGAGAAAAACTTGTCCTGCGTCAGAGGAGTAAATACAGATGCTCCAGCTCGATGTGTCCTTAGCAGCTGATGTCTCCAAATCTGCATCTAGAGCATCTTTGTACCCTCAAAAATATTCTCTCCAGGGACAAAATGTCCTTCAGGCGCCCGGCAGCTATTTGTATCTCCTGGATGAACTGTTTTCATTGCTCTCTGTACCTGGGGCTTTATCAGGTGTCCTTGGTCTACCTCACTTTACTCCTTACGGTCTGCTGACATGTGTGGTTGCCCCACAATAGCCCATTCCCGGAGAAACCTTAGTTTACATTTATAGCAACTCTGCTGGTTTCAAAACCTTTAATTTAGACTCATGTCCTCAGGAGAAGATTTTGTACCAGAGACTGTAAATTAGTCAAGAGAAGGACTGAGCCTTGGGAGGGCAAAGAAGGTGGGAGGCAAATTCACCTAGGTTTCCATTTTTCTGGATAAAAATTGGTTTCCCTCAGTAAATAATTCAGATCAATTCTTTGGACAATCTTAGTTATTTTGTTTGACTATAGGTAAAGCCTTTCTATAAACTGAGGTTAACTCCAAATAGTCTCACTACCAGTAAAAACCTACTGTATTTATAATCTTAGATGTCATCTCTCTCTCCAGATTTAGTGGAAGAAAAAAGACTTCACTGTTGGCTACAGCATAAAAAGTCACTATACACTAACAAAATCAAGAAGAAACAAGCACACACACACACACAAAGCGCCTCACTGCGCACTAAATAGGTAAATCATCAGGAAAACGAACAAGTTATCTTAGTCTTTAATGGCTCTTAATTCTGTTGGCTAAAAATGGAAAATAATTAGTTAGCTGAAAAGGGCAGAGGGAAATCAGCTGTCTTTGGCTGTGGAAATCTCATTGCTTTAATTACTTATAATGTTGTGTGTGAGAATATAAGCTTTTCAATACTCTGGGATCAGTAGAAAAGCACTTCCAGAACTGGGCAGTCATTACCAACTAACAGTTGCTTTTAATTTAATAGAAATTAAGATGTGATTTATTTCTCCTAGTGAGTTGGGCACATGTGAGG